ACAGGAAAAATTGCATCCTGAGCATTTCTGACCCTGAATTAACTTTTATGGTGCTACAGGATAAACAGTGAACTGCTAGCCACAAAATTGGCAGTTCAAACCCACCAGTAGCAGCTCCTTAGAAATCCTATATAGAGTCACTATGAGTTAGAACTGACTTGATGGCACTTAACAACAGCAACAACAATAAATCCCATAATTGTGAGCATTGTCTGTAAATTCTATTTAGCCACTATAATGAATGATCTAACTCAGCAGAGAAGTACAGAGTGCTGTGGAAGAGATGGTTGGTATCACAATTGGTAAACAAAGTTGGAAGGTGGAGGCACGTCTGACCTCAGTCTCATAGGAAGTGGCCTTAGGATGATGTTGTTTGATTCTCTTTACCATTATGAAGTCAGCGGAGGTCAGTCATTGCTCCCATGACATTCTCACATCCCTACTTGTGGACATTTAGATCACAACAAATATTTTGCTACTACAAACAATTGTTGTTTAGTGCTATCAAGTTGATTCTGACCCATAGCAACCCTTGTGTAGGGTTTCTGAGGAGCAGCTGGTGAATTTGAACTGCTGACCTTGTGGCCGAGTGCTTAAGCTACAGCACCACACCAGGACTCCACTACTATAAATAGCTGTGTATAAATAAACTTGTGCCTGTTATTTCACTTATGTGCAAGTACTCCTGTGGTTTGAATACTTCTTTCTTTCTTTCGCCTATGGAACTGCTGGTAGTTTCGAACTGCTGACCTTGAGGCTGGCAGCCCTACTCGTAACCACTACACTACCAGAGCTCCTTAGAAGGTGTCATACGTTGCTCCAATAAGATATGTTGGAGTTCTATTCAACTCCTAGTACTTGAGCATATGACTTGATTTAGAATTAGAGTCTTTGCAATGCAATCAAGTTAAGAAGAGGTTATTAGTTGTTGTTGTTATGTGCTGTGGAGTCGGTTCCGACTCATAGCAACCCTGTACAGGGTTTCCAAGGCTGTAAATCTTTACGGGAGCAGAAAGCCTCATCTTTCTCCCACAGAACAGCTGGTAGTTTTGAACTGCTGACCTTGTGGTTCACAGCCCGATTCGTAACCACTACACTACCAGAGCTCCTAATCCAATATTACTGATGTCCTTATAAGAAAAGAAGGAGCACAGTGAGTCCAAAAGATAATCACTGTATTATAAACCACAGTATGGCAGTTCAAATCCACCAGCCACTTCTCAGGATAAAAATGAGGCTTTTGCTCCCACAAAGATTTAAAAGCCTCAGAAACCCTATGCAGGGTCGCTATGAATTGGAATGAACTCAACAGCATTTAACAACAAAAACACTGAAGAAAAAAAAAGAGAGAGACATAGGCTGAGACAAAGAGGGAGAACATCATTAGATTATGGAGTGGAGGGAGGAAAGGAAAGACAGAGATTTAAGTGATATGTCTACAAGCCAAGGAATGTCAAACATAATACAAGACTTTCTGATGGGTTAGAAAGCAGGGTAATACGAGAAAAGGAAAAGGTATTTGACATGAAGAGTCATTTTCAAAAAGGAATATGTGCGATAGGCACACTTGATGTGTTTTTACATTAATTATAATAGACACTTGTGGGAACAGAAACTCACAAAAGGTAACAATGATGTATATATAATCAGAAAGTTTCCTTAAAAACTGCAGTGCAGTGAATTATTTAATATTTCTTCAAGCCATAGTCTAACAAATGAAACTTCTAAACAAATGACTTTTTCTTGATGAATCTGAGGTGGGGGAAGATGCTGATAGAGAATTGATTCAATTGTGAGTGACTGTCCACGATAGCCAAAATATGACCTTGAACATATCCCAACTGAATTTAGAGATTATCTTAAAAACAGATTTTGATGCATTAGACACCGAAGACCAGAAGAGTTGTGGGAAGACATCAAGAACATCATACAGGAAGAAAGCAAAAGGTCATTAAGAAGGCAAAAAAAGGAAAAAGACCAAAATGGATGCCAGAAGAGACTCTGAAACTTGCTCTCTAGCATAGAGATGTTAAAGCAAATGGAAGAAGTGAAGAGGTAAAGAGCTGAACAGAAAATTTCAGAGGGCAGCTCGAAAAGATAGTCAAATATTACTCAACATTTCTCAGCTGAAGGAACTGAAGAAAAACTGAACCCTCAACTTTCATTATTGAAGGGTTCTATGAGCAAAATGTAGAGTCCTGGTGGAGCGCTGTGGGTTAATGCACTGGACTGCAAAGTTGGTGTTCACCAGCCACTCTTTGTAAATCCTATACAGGGTCTCTATGGGTCGGACAACAACAATGGGTAAAATACGGAATAATGCAGAAAGCATCAAAAAAAAAAAATGGAAGGAATGCAAAGAGTCACTCTACTAAAAAGAAACGGTCGATAGTCAATCATTTCAAGAGGCAGCATATGATCAAGAGCCAATGGTACTGAAGGATGAAGTCCAAGGTGCATGGTAGGCATTGGCAAAGAATAAAGCTCCAGGAATTGATGTAATATAAATAGAAATCTTTCAACAAACTGGAGCAGCACTGGTGGCACTCACCCATCTATGCCAAGACATTTGAAAGACAGCTATCTGGCCAACTGATTGGAAGAGATCCATATCTGTGCCCATTCCAAAAAGAGATAACCAAGGAATGGGGAAAACATCTGACAACATCATTAATATCGCATGTAAGCAATGGTTGTGACCATACATTGACAGGGAATTGCCAGAAGTTCAGGCCAGATTCAGATGGGGATGTAGAATGAGGAATATAATTTCTGACATGATAGATCTTGGCTTAAAGCAGAGAATACCAGAAAGATGTTTACCCATGCTTTACTGACTACAGAAAGGCTTTAACTGTGTGAATCACGACAATCTATGGACAACATTGTGGAGAATGAGTATTACAGAATACTTAATTGTGCTCATGAGGAACCTGTAAATAGATCAAGTGGCAGTCGTTCAAACAGAACAAGGGGACACCATACGA